TAAGAAATTTAAATGTTGGTTGGTTCTGATTAGGGCTGCACGATTATGACAAAAATCATAATTGTCGATTATTCCCTTGAAATTGTAATTGTGATTATTAATTACGATTATCACAATTTACATTGAATGATGTTTATACCATTGTTTGATGCAACTGCATGCCGTATTTTTATATGAAAATAAACAAGCTGAAAACACTCTAACTGAAAAACCTTTAGTGCTTTTCTATAGTATTAAGCCTCAAATGCCAACTATACACTGGATTGGTTTCTTCTTTAAATTATAAAAAAGTAAACAGATGAATGGTATTATAATGTTATGCCAAAACTAAAATGAAAATAATGGGAAAAACCCTTAAGATAACATGTAGAAAGAAAAAAACGCATCTTAAGCGTGCAGAATAACATAAGTGGACTTTGAACGATTAATTTCCGCTTTGAACGATTACGTAATTGTGGCATCCATAATTGTAATCGTGATTAGAAATTCGATTAATTGTGCAGCCCTAGTTTTGATCTATTAAGAAATTAAAATATCTGTTTTGTTTTGTTTTGTTTTGTAAAGAAATTTAAATTTCGGTTGGTTTTATTCTATTAAGAAATTTCAGTACTGGTCAGAAATTCAAATATTAGTCAGTTTTGTTCTATTAAGAAATGTAAATATTGGTAATTTTTAATGTTGATAGGTTCTTTCTAGAGTTTTTACCATTGGTCAGTTCACTTCAAAGTGAAAATAAGCCATTCTCAAAAAGTATAAATGAAAATATGATTAGGCCTGAAGCGCAACAGAATGTGTAAATCACTGCTTGGAATGAAGCAGGAGTTTCACACTCGATGAGCGTCTGATAATGATGTACTGTTTGCTTGTAAAGTCTTGTCACGCTGAAACTTTGCTTCATTATTATGGTGTTTACTGTTCCACCTCCTCCCAGACTCCTGCGCTGAGAACAGGACAGCAGAGAAACATCACGCTGCTCAACACAGATTCTGCAGATAAAATAGCTCAGAATCACATTTCTTATTTTAAGTTATTCCATTAACAGCTGTCATTTTTAAGAACCAGCATTCTTGGGAATCCTGGATATGCGAAGCAATTTTAAAAGCCTGATTTCTGGACCTATAAAAAAGTCACAGAAATTAATAAAATCTTAAAAGGTCACAGACTTTTCTGTAATTAATATGCATTTGTCTAATTATGTCAAGTTCTATAACATTTTTTATCAAGAAGAAATTTCTTAAATTCTGGAATTACAAAATTAAAATGTTATTTATCTTTATTGTATGTAATTATTTGTTTTATTTTAATATATCTTCATTTTAATATACTGTAGCTATTTTATTTAATATATACATTATATAATATATAATGTTGAAAACAGTTGTGCAGCTTCTTGTTTTGTGGAAAATATGACGCTACATTTAAAAAAAGTGGTTAAGTATGTTTTTTTTATTACAAATGTAGAAATTAAATGTAGACAGTAAAGACATTTACAATGTTACAGTAGATTTCTATTTCAAATAAACGCTGTTCTTCTGAACTTTCTATTCATCTGTGAATCCTGAAAAAAGTATCACGGTTTCCACAAAAATATTCAGCTGTTTTCAGGATTGATAATAATCAGAAATGTTTGTTGAGCAGCAAATCAGAATGATTTCTGAAGATCATGTGACACTGAAGACTGGAGTAATGATGCTGAAAATTCAGCTGCGCATCACAGAAATAAATTACAGTTTAACAGATATTCACATAGAAAACAGATATATTAAATTGCAAAAATATTATACAATTGTAACTATTTTTTATCAAATAAATGCAGCTTTGATAAGCAGAAAAAAATGTCTTATTTAAAAACACTGAAAAACCTTATTTTCAAGCTTTGGACCGGTGGTGTAATCTGGATGGGATTGCAGCTTCAAATGGCGTGAGGCATGAATGTACCTGAACTAGTTCAGAGTTTAGGGCTGGTTTTGACCCGTGAAGGTGAGGAGCTTGATGTCAGGGGCCGCCACTAAACGAGGCCCTCCGGATCCCAGCACAACCTTATCAAGGCACCCGAGGGCCATTAACAGCCTCCCGTTCATTATGGCCCCTCGTGGCTGTTAAGTGCTAATCTTTGGCGTATTAAAGCGCGCTTGTTACAGACGTCTGAGTGAACGCTTTACACACTGCTTAAAGCTGCTATTGTTTACTCGCGGCCGCGCTGAAAAGTGGTTCGATGTTGATCCGCAATCAGCGGCGGCTGCTTTAATCTGGAGCTAAGTGCGGCGTTCGCCCGTCGGGTCACGAGCAGCACAGAATTGGGAGAAAAGGCTCTGATTTATTCGCCGTCTGCTTTCGAGTGAATTTCAAAATAAAGTGTATGTAACCCGTCATTATTCTGCTGTGCTGGAGTGGGATGTGAGTGGATGAAAATTGATCCAGCCAATTGAAAAGGGGGTTAAGTGTTTTTGCCCTTATCGACGACACAACAAAGCGGCTGTTGTATAAAACACTCATTTGTCCCCCTTTAGCAGATGAGACGGTGTTATTTGAGGGCCGCATTGTGCCGTGTACGAGTTTGAGAGGCGATAATGGCCCGTGTGCAGACGCCAGCCGAGAATAAAGATTTTAACTCTGCGGAGGAGGATGATGATGATGATGAAGACATTTAAAGCCATCACTGCCGCTCGCCAGTGTGGTGAAATGGTGTAAAATGACCCGAGCGTGTCTGGAATCAATCACGCCACGTGTCTTTGTTGTGGCTCGGTCACGTGAGTTTTGAGGGTTCAGGTGATCTTTATTCAACTGCTCTGCTCTTTGCATTGGCTCCGCAAGCCTTTACTTGCTTGTTTTGTAACTTCAAGCAACCCTGTAACACTTTCGACAGGCTTTCTGCGGGTCTTAATTCACCCTTCCACAAAATAAGGCCTAAAAAGGTGTTGGTAACACTTTAATTAAAGCATTTATGTATAATGCATTATAAAATGTTAATGCATTACAAAATATTTTAATGCATTAATTAATTCACCTTATAATGCGTTGTATAATCTCATGAATAACTGTAGCCAGAGTTAGGATAAATTATAAAACTTTGCTATTCATTGCTACATCTTTAGAAAGTACAATGCATTTAAACACATGACAAACAAACCTTCAGATATTATAATGCATTTTAAATTTGGTTTCAACAATTATTCATGAAAAAAATGCATTATAGCATACATTACAAATACTGTTGCTATGCATTATACATAAAGGCTTTAAGTCTCACCACTTAAATCAGAGCAGAAAGTCCTAAATTCATAACGTCATGGCACTAAATGTGGCATGCACTACAAAAACAAATTCAAAAATATTTAATCAGTGTTTTTGTCTTATCTAATATCTGAATATTCTTGAATCAGGATACATTTACTTGAGATGCACAATGAAGATGAATACGAAATCTTGTTTTCTGAGAGATATGGCTAAATGAAATGCATTTATGCTTAAAACAAGAACATATATCATTCAGTGGCGTCAGAAAAATCAACCAGTTTTTCCTTTGAATGAGGATTATTTTTCTGACTGCATTGGCAGATATTTATTCTTGTTTTAATCATAAGCTCACTCATTTCTTTGTGTCCCCTTCTGTTTATTCCTTACATTTTAAGTGTTCGGAAAAGAGAAAGATGCCAAGTTTGCCTTCACTCCAACTGTTGTAATAAAAACACTCACACGGCAGTGTTAGCTAGTAGAACTAGGGTTGCAAAAAGGTGGAAAACTTTCAGTAAATTTCGGAAAAATTCCAGAATTTTTGGAAACTTTCCAGGATTTTTTTTTTAATATTCCAAGGATTTTTGGAAAGTTTCCGGAAATTTATCGGAAATTTTCAAGGTTGCTTTTTAATATTCCAAGGATTTTTGGAACGTTTCCGGAAATTTATCGGAAATTTTCCACCCCTTTGCAACCCTAAGTAGAACACAAAGTACAGAGATATAAATAGCTGTGGACAGGTGTTATCACAGGGTCCATACACTGATGTTTGCTAGGGTCGTTTCAAGAGAAATCAAGGTTCCTGATAAATTGAAATGCATTTTTATTTATTTTTAGTCAATAACATGTTTTTAAACTCAGCAGCTCTCTGTGTGTAGTTTCAAAGCAGAGGCAGCCGGTGTAGATCTACTGCTTTAGGGCCAGTTTTACTAACAGGTTGCACCCGCGCAAACCGTCTTTTAGCGTTAAAATAGTACTGTCAGGTTTGACTAAAGACACGCAGTGGCTAATTAGCGCTGAAAAGGCGTGGACAGAGTTATTTTTTTTGCGCCTGACCTTATTAAATATGCATTTGTAGGAGTTTCCCTTTCAGACGCAAAACCTATGTGAGGAGAGTAGGCTATTCAAATGAATCACGCAATGCGATTTACTTGGCGCTCGTCAAATTACTGCCATTTGCGCCATTATTTAACGCCCAAAAAAAGCATGTCAAACTATTTTGCGCTGGAAATGGCTGCAAGTGTTGTTGCTGGAGGAGGCACCGCAGAGGATTTTTTCAACACAAATTAATTTATTTTGAATGCCAGAAGAACACATTATCTGAACATATCGTTTGCCAAGCCATGTTATTTTTAATTTGCTTCAGGAAATAAAAGACCACTTGGAACCAAGTCTATCAAAACTTCTTGCAACCTTTCATTTTTTGGCCTCCGGTTCTTTTCAACATACTGTGGCTTCTTTATTTGCGACCATGCTAATTTGCGCTGCGCTTGGTATATTGCGTTGGTCAATATGCAAATGAGATGTTACGTCTGTGTTCTTTAATTTGTGCGTTGTTAGTAAATCACACGCATTGTTGCGAGCTGTTTTGGAATTGCGCTCTCGCGCTAAATAGCCCTGTTTAGTAAAACTGGCCCATAGTGTTTTGTTGAATCCTCTTGGATATGCTCAACAGATGAATGAAAGACATTTACAATCCATAACTTGTGTGCATCTGTTGATTGCTCTTGTTGCAGTGCATTGTGTTTGTCTCTGTCTGTCCTCAGGTGGAGAGCAGCGTTGCGGTCGTGCCGTCGTTACCCAGAGGAGCAGCGGTGGAGCTGCATGTCACGGCTGTGCTGGACCGTCCCACAGACAGAGCGTCTCATCTCTCCGTCTCACAGATCCCGGGGTGCAGCGTCGAGTGCCGTCTGCTGCAGTCCAGCTGCGCTCGATACGCCTCTCTGTCTCTCAGCGTGTGTTTGAGCGATCCTCACGCAGCAGCCGAGAGCGTCACCGATCAGCTGCTGTCTTCATACCGGAGCGCTCTTCTCAAGACCACCGGTCTCTCTGCTCTGTGTGCCAGAGTTTTCTATAAGAGCCACAACTCGCTCGTCACTCAGATCGCCACAGGTACAGTTGTGCTAGTCATGTTTGGTCACTCATAAAGCAATAGTTCAGCCAAAAATGAAAATGTGCTCACCCTCAGATCATCCGAGATGTAGATGAGTTTGTTTCTTCATCAGGTTTGTAGAAATGTAGCATTGCATCAGTGTCTCAGCAATGGATGCTCTGCAGTGAATGGGTGCC